AAAATAGTGCCACTTTAAGGGTCCATCTATATTTTCGGCCTAAATACAAATAAAAAACTAATCAATATACGTATAATTCATATATAATATATGCATAATTGTGTATCATCAATATATAATTTATGTGAATCGATTAAAAAGATAAAAATTAAATCTGACCGGCTATTTGTGTAACCATCCTTATTTCAGGAAGGCATAAAGTAGCATTTTTAATTTTAGTACCTGCTTAATTACTAAAGTATTATAGAGAAATCTAGCTGCGAACCATAATAGGTCAATTCGCACCTTTAAATTGGTCAAATTATACTGAACATGTAAAAACCATTAACATCATTTGTCAATACAACTCAATTAGAAGAATTAACTTAAATAGGCTAACTGCTTAAACTAAAATTGGGTACTACAACTTACCTATTAGAGCTCTTTGTAGGCTTTCAAGTTATGACAAATCGAAATTTGGAATTTACAAGGATTTGGACATTTGGTCAACTGCTAGATAAAGAAGTTGAGTTTTATCAGGGGAATATTGGGCCCACTCATACAAGCCACAATCCACATTCGTTGAAGCGATTTATTAATTGTTTCTTGAATGAGACTTACAAATCGCGTTTGAAGATGCAATTTATAAAGGAATTTTTACGCCATATAGAAAATCTTAGTACCATATTTATTTTAAATAAATACCATTTTAAAATATTACATCCTATAGATACCTTTTATACTTTATAGCCAAATATCTAATTATAGTTATATCCTACATTTAAGGCACCATATATGCTAAATAATATTTTTCTCTCTCCTTTTTAGTCTTTTCTCTCTCATAATCACAGTAAAATTCACTAACCACGTTCTCTCTCTTTTTGCATACACTTTACTCTTTCTTCCTCAACCCACGATTCATACCTCTTCTCCCACCCAAATTCTCTAGTTCTCCTCCATTATCACTCCATTACAATCGCTTAGGGTAAGTTTAATTCGTTGATTTTGATAGACGAAGAGCAATTGGTTCAACTGTAGCGGCTCGATTCTGCTTGGCAGTGGTCGTCGAAGTAGGGTTCACAGCTTTTGCGTAATTCATGGCTTTGTTTGTGGGATTTGAGGGCTGGGGATTGTTTGTAGTTGTTGTAGGAGGTTGGGCAGATGTGTTAGGGGGCTGACCAGCCGGAATTAATGGCTAGCCGTCGGCCGGCGAAGCCATAAGGCTATTTCTCTCTCTAGATCGCCCAAATCGCCTATTTGTATTCAGTTGTATTCGAATGTATATTTCAGATGTATTCACATGTATTCAGTAGCATTCATTTATATATTTTAAATGTATTAAAAAGTTATGCGTATTCTCTTGTATTCAGTTTTAATCAGTTGTATTTAACTATTTTATTCAGCAGTAGTTAATTGTATTCAAGTGTTTTATACAACTGTATTCAGTTGTATTCAATTGTATTCAATTGTAGTTAGTTATATTCAACTATTTTATTCAGCAGAAGTTAGTTGTATTTTGTTGCATTCAAGAGTTTTATTTAGCTGTATTCAGTTGTATTTTGTTGTATTCAAGTGTTTTATTCAGATGAATTAAGTTGTATTTTGTTGTATTCAACTGTATACAGTTCTACTCAACTATATTATTCATATGTATCTCTCTTTATTCAGCTATAATCTTTATTATGTATCTTTCAAATACAGATTAATGAGGGATCGTTTTAGTTCGTTGAGTTAAATTAGGAGAATATCATGTGATTTGATTTCCTTCCGTTTTTAACCAGTTTAACCTTCCATATTTTGCGCAGATACGTTACTGTATTTAACGTTAATGCCGCTTGAATACAGCTAAATACATGTCAAACTTAGCTGGAATTCCAGTTTTTACGCCTATTTTTTTTTGTTGTATTAATGAATATAACAGCTTAAATACATGAAATACATTGTATAAAAACATAAAAGGTATCTATAACACATAATATAGCAAAGAGTATCTATAAATGGCTAATTAGACCTAAAAGATGGTGCTTTATGAAAAATTCTTATTTATAAATCACATTTATCTAATTCGATTTATGGGCCCCGACAGTTGCGCACTTTTAAGAAGGTACCTTGCAGAAGAGTCAACTGAAACAATTTTGGTGCACCTAAGTGGATTTTTATATTGATATTAGCAGCTATACACTTAGGATAGATTGACAACATGGGGAATGACTGTTCCTTGTGTTCATGAGAGTTTGAGACCACCTCTTATTTATTTTTTAAGTGCCCCCTACTTTTAGTGGCGGGTGCAGTATACAATTACTGGGTTCAACTGAACCCAATACTTTTAATGTGGAACATAAATTTACGTTTAAAAAATCACTAAAATTATAATAAATAATAGATATGAACTCATAATTTTAAATGCTGAACCCATAGAACTAAAATCCTAGATCCATCTCTGCTTACTCTGCAACTATATGGGAGAATACTCCGAAATGGCAAAGGGATAAGAAGGCAGGCTCTAAGTTGGCAAAACGAGTTGAAATGGATGACATTCAATTGTAAATGTAAAACTGCCGGTGCACATTCGTTCAGAATGACAGTAGCTGCGAGTGTATATCAAATCTGAAAAGAGAGCAAGTCAAATGATCTTTCAAGGTAAATGCAGAAGTACAGATGCTGTTGTTCAAATCATCATCCAAGAGACATTCTATAGAGGAAATACGCAACTTAAAATCATGACACACTTGCAATCCTTGAATTTCTATCATGTTTAGAGTTTTAGCCAGAGACAAAAGTTATAGGAGGTAGGCAGTTCTAATTTGCTAAAATTGTTTTTACAATGTGCAATTTTTTTTGATGTAATACTTCTAGTTGATTAATAAAATTATTTTTATTTACCAAAAAAAAAAAAGCTTACAAATAGATAATATGTGTATAGTCATTTATAATTAATATACGTCGGCTGGCAAATGTAAATAATATATTCGGTCGGTCCATTAACACAACGATTCAAACACCGTCTATGTCCCGAAAAATCGAATTAAAAAATTGAAATTCAAAATATATTAGCTAATTTCTAAATAACAACTATCTAGAATGGCTACTTGGTATCATTTCTACTGTGGGAGGTGCGTAGTTATTGGGCTAAACTTGTACTTTAGTAAGCCCGGAGAAGCAAGTGTAAGTCCAGTTACGTTGTCAAATTCTTACTACTGAAATTAATGTTCTATTTAATGAATTATTAATCATTAAGATGCCATTTAACGCGTAAAACGGTTAAAACGATAAAGTACAAGAGCATTCTAATTCAAGGATGAGATTAGAAAATTAAATTTTGTTTGTTTTGCTAATCTTTTTTTGGCCCAAGAGCCGAAGAGCGTGTTCTGATAATCTGAAATTACCATAATACTAGTAATAATTGTATTCTTGTGCAAGATGATGCCATGATGAACAAGTGAGTTTGGAATATTAGATGGTTAAATTTTTTTTTTTTGGAAGAAATAGCATCTAATATTTTATGCTAATTGAGTTACATTATGCATTTCATAAAATTTAACTGTTATGATTTTAGCTAATTTAGCATAGGCAGTGATAAAAAGAGATTTCTCTAGTTAAATTGATAGTTCATAAAGTTGGAGCAGTTCAAGTAAGGAAAACATTTACCTGAATCAGATGCATGGATCAAAAACTAACTTATCACAATCTTTATTTGAATATACATTAATTAATAGTTAAATTATAAATGTCATAAAATACATACGAATATTTTATTTTTCATTGTAGTAATCCAAACTTTCACATTCCCAAACGGCGAAGAGGATAGAAGACAAAGAAAGCAGTACACTTGGAGGATTCTAAAGGTATATCCTCTTTGTTCAATGCGACACGTCTTTTTGTGTATGTGCGCGCGCACACGTTACAACAGTGGTCCTTGCATTAAAAGCTTTATTAAATTCTCTAGTTTTTTTATCTTGAAAATTCTCCTAAGCAAGAATTAAGGCCATTGCATAACTAAGTTGTAATAGATCTTTGATTAATAGCCTGATTGGCCAAGCTTCTTTAAGATTAAAAATACTTTTTTTCCTATCAAAATTAAGATATTTGGCCAAACTTCTAGGAAGGAAAAAAAATATTTTTGAGTAAAAATAGAAGCATTTTTTTTAGAAACAGAAAAAGTAACTATTCTTAAAAATACTTTTTTGAAAAGCGCTTTTGAGAAAAAATACTTAGAAATTATTGCTCTAAAGTGTTTGTCAAAATGATTAGTCAAATACAAACTATTTTTTATTTATCAAAAGTACTTTTTTGAAAAATAAAACAATAACAATAATAACAACAACCTAGTCAAATCCCACTAGTGAGGTATGAGAAGAGTAGTGTATACGTAGGTCTTACCCCAGACTTTTTGAAAATATTTTTTAAAAAATATTTTTTAAAAAATATTTTTTAAAAAATATTTTTTAAAAAATATTTTTTAAAAAATATTTTTTAAAAAATATTTTTTAAAAAATATTTTTTAAAATAAGCTAATTTTAGAAGTTTGAGCAAACAGGCTATAAGATGCCACCTAAATTTGAAACAATAGATAAACATTAGTTAATCATAAAAGTTAGATTTATTGGGGGGAAAAATCATCAAAGACTTTTTGTGAAGACAAAAATCATCAAAGTTAGATAAGGTAAATTGCTAAGCTAACATTTCATTTAAGAATTAAATAATAAATCACAAAAGAACTTTTGCATTTAGACGTGTAAATTTTTGTATTATTTGACATTACCTCCAACTCCAAAGTTACTTTGACTTGAGAATAGATAATTAGAAATCAAAACCTTAGAAATAAAAAATTCTTAATTAGAACCGCTACATCTTTAATTGGGATACCCCGTGAAAATAATATAATTAAAAGAAATAATGTCTAATTGAATTAGGCTTTATTGCTTTTTTCTTGAAGTCCACGTCTACTACGTGTCAGCACTTACACACGAATTTTTCCCAGCACTTCCGTGAAAACTAAAATAAAACAATTTTGGATAATGATTATTTAAACATAGTAGAGAGTCCTAAAACAAAGCAAAAGCAAAGTCATCATTTACTCAACCTTCATTGTTTATCTTTTTCTCTCTCAATTGACGATCATTCTTTCACAAAAAAGGTTAGTTCTTTACTCCTTCTGATCGTTATTATATTTTTTGTTTTCTGAATTTTGATGTTTATTTTGCTATTAGTAGTTCAAGTTTCTCGCTTTATCAAATTGGGTTATATTTGTTTTATTTTCTGATAGTTTTTTGCTGAATATTTTCTTGATGAGGTTGTTTTAGAAGCAGTAGAATTAAAGTTACTTTGGGTTTTGATTGGTTTTGTATCAGTTTAGGTCAAAAGATGATTACTTTAAAGTAATAGCTGTTTGTTTTGTAAAAAAATTGGGTTATTTGGTAGTGGATAATACGTTGATTAAGACAATAATTCTGCTTTTTTGATTGTTTTGATTCAGGAAATGGCTAAGAGCTCATTCAAGCAAGAGCATGATCTTGGTTCGTTTTTTTTTTTTTTTTTTTTTTTTTTTTTTTTTTTTTTTTTTTTTTGTAAATTTTGATGTGTTATGATGTTTTGTTGTGAAAAAGAATTGTGGGTGTTAGTTGTTTTTTTTGACGCTGTTGTTTTGAATGTTCAGAGAAGAGGCGCGCCGAGGCTGCTAGGATTAGGGAAAAATACTCAGATAGGATTCCGGTGAGAATTGGGTCTTATGTTGCTGTATTATTTTTCTGTAGTAGCTGCTTGTTTCAATGTGAATATAGTAATGTGAGTTTATAATTTCATGGACAAGATCACTTAACTTTTAGTACTCTTTATTATTTTTTTATTTGTTTTATTTTGTGTAATATTGATCTGGGAATTAGTAAATGAGACTGAGATGCTCAATGAGGATTCGTATAGCTGACCCGTACTTGCTTGGGACTGAGGCGTAATTGTAGTTGTAGTTGCTTTTCGAGTCATTGACATGGCTACATGCTAAGTTGTCTAATGTTAAGAATGCATGATAGAGATTATTCTTTAAAACAACTTTTGAAGTTACAATAGTGGAGTTCTCGAAATTCATCACTTTCTTCTTGCCTCTTACGAGCAGTTCTCTTTATTTAATGTTTCAAAAATATAGTGCTGATATAATGGTTAAGAGATTGTATGGTTGATTATATTGTCATTTACTTTTTTCACTACCAAACTGAAATTGCTATAGAACTGAACGTTCTATATCTAATGAGGGAAATTACCACCTCATTACATAAGAAAGCACGATCGGCATTCTCAGGTGGTGCATTTGGAAGAGTATCAAAATAGTGCCACTATACACCTAATACTATAACTACGGGACCCAAAATGAAGATACTATGGAGTTACTGAAGAATATGGGCGAGTTTTCTTTTCATTAGCAATTATGTCCCCATGCATTTGAGACTTGAATGCACAATAAAATAAGGATAACACACTATGAAATTATTGATGGATTTTGAGTTTTTGTAAAACAATAGAGGTAATAACACGTTCTTGTACAAATGCTTCCTTGGTACTATCAGTCGTGCTTGCCCGAAATCCTAGTTCCAGAACTCCACTTTCACTGGCGGTATCATCTGTATCAAGTCGACAACTAAGTCACAGATTTGGTTTACTTTCTCTGTTCCGATAGCCCAACCACTCCGTCTGTATCAGTTATAACAATAGATACCCAAGTGGCTATCTTTTGCTCTGAAAGGGGTGTGATTTTGTAATCATGTTAGACATACAATATACATTTTATACAGATCAGCAAACAATGCTTAAGAATTTGTTCATACAGAACCCCTTATGATTGTCTTAGTTGACTCTTCTCTCAAACCAAACTAGATATCGCTTCGTGGAGGATAGCGTCCAATTGTAACTCAAGAATTGCTGCTTAATAGTTGTTCACATCGGTATTATGTGCCAACTATATGATTGTCATAGTTGAGAATTGTCTGTACTTGAACTGATGTGCGTCCAGCAAGGGCGGTGTCCAATTTTAACTCAAGAATTTCTGCTCAAGAATTGCTGCTTAGTATTTATTTTATTTTGTATATGTGATACTCCATCCAGAATTCATCAGTGCTTCGTTCTCACAGTATTTATGTAATGTGCAGGTGATAGTCGAAAAAGCTGAGAAAAGTGATATTCCGAACATTGATAAGAAAAAGTAAGTACTGATTAAAGCTACAAGTGAGCTTGTTTTTGTTACTTCGGTGTCCTAGGGAGAAAAATATTACCTCTGGAAAATGCTTATCCCTGATTCCTTTATTACTTGTGTTCTGTGTTCCTTTTCAGTTAGTAATTTCCCTCCAGATTGGCAATTTCCTAACATTTAGTTTTGCTACCTGAATTTAGGTGATAATTGGTAGTCTTCATGTGATACATTGAGATGAATATTGTCATCTATTGAAACAATAAAAAATATAAAAGTTTTGAATCACAAACATCGACAACTTGTGATCTATTGTAGGCTGTAAGTATCGAGTTACAAAATCTACAGCTTGATCACCACTTTTTCCTCCATCGTGCTTCTGTTCTTCCTGCCGGTGTGACACCATGATAACCATTACCATCACTATCATTTTTCTTTTTGAATAAGCACCAGTCTGCTAATGTAGCTCGTGGTGTTGAAATAGCTTTGGATGATTTCCATTTTCCAGTTGTTCAGATCCAATTAAGCAGCTTCTCCATTGTTCACTATGGGTGAAGTCAGTTTGGAAGACAAAATCTAGTTTTGCCTTTGAGTTCCTCTTGTGAAAACATAAAAGAAGTTCCATAATCGTAGGTTTCTTCTCTTACTTGAGCTTTTGGGTTATATGATCGAATAGCACGTCTAGCTTACTCTAGCTTTGGTTTCATCATCTCATTGCTGCTGTTGCCACAACTATCTTTATTGCCAAACAAATGCATCTCTGTTAAGATCTGGTTTTTGGACTCGCGCAAAAAAATAAATAAATTGATCCATGTTTTTAATTGGCAAAATTGCAGGTATCTTGTGCCAGCTGACTTGACAGTTGGGCAATTTGTCTACGTCATTCGCAAGAGAATCAAATTGAGTGCAGAAAAGGCAATTTTCATATTTATTGACAATGTCCTACCGCCAACAGGTAAAACTACCCACTACTATCTGGCTTTTGGAAGTTGCCATAGCAATTGGAAGTTGCCATAGCAATTCTGAAATATTATCTCGTTTACAATAGACCCTTATGGTCCGACATTTCTCCGGCTCCCGCGCATAGCGAGAGCTTAGTGCATCGGGCTGCCCCCCCTTTTTTTTTTAATCTCGTTTACAATGAAGTGAGCAAACTGTTTGGTTTTGTAGGAGCAATCATGTCTGCGATCTATGATGAGAAAAAGGATGAAGATGGTTTCCTCTATGTTACCTACAGCGGAGAAAACACATTCGGGGCCTGAACGGGTTGTAGAGATCGGTTTTTCTTACAGTTCCCCTGTTTATTGTCCCGTGACACTGCTGTGTCCTGCTTATATCTTCTTTCGTCTTATCAAAGGTTCTATTGGAAATAATTATGTATAGCGTATAGTTCAGAAAAACAAGTGTTGCGATATTCTGCAATATGATGTTAATAATCAGTTTCATTCAATAACTTTAATGACTGTGTTAGTGTCCTAATCAGTTTCTGCTTTATAAGGGACTCAAAGTCGCTAATTCATTCTTGATTTGCTTTCTTATTTCTATAAGAATTTGTAGTTACTATTGCCATATATGGGAAAGATAATGCAGAAAAAGGGCTCATTGTTTTGCTGCTTTTGCAGCAGCAAATGTATATTCACAACCACAAGTTTTCAGTAACTTACACAAATTAAAGATGTATCTGAATGATATATGAAGCTGATTATGTAACAGACTTGTTTCTTCTTCCTGTCAATGATCACTGATCAGTGTTCCCTTTAACTGGCCGTTACCACTTTCTTATTATTATACTTATTAGTCAGATAGGAACAGATGCTTCAAACATCATTTTTTAAACTAGTATTAGAGTACTGCGCGTGTACACCATACTAATAAATTTAAAATTCTAAAGAATTAGATTTAAAATTCTAAAGAACTACCGAAAAAGTAACGTGCTTGAGTTATAAAAATAAAAGTTAAATAAAAATATAAGTTCATGAATGATAATTATTGTTATTAATCGTAATCTCTTATTTTAAAAGAAGATTAGATCATTGAAATACATTTTAAAATGACTTCATGCACTTCTTCATGTTATATATATTATTGCCTTTTACAAATGAAAATAGTATCTTTACTTGCAAATATATATTTTGAATAGGTAGTTAATCAAAATCGCATACTCATATAGGCGGAAAGGATGAATGTCTTAAGTGGAATATTATTCGCCTTTATTTATCGTTTAAAATAGAGTTCACCCTTTAAATAATGAAAGATTTAGGAAGTAAAATTTTAATTGATTTTAAAGTACTTAATATGTTCAAAAATTTATTCAATATAAAATTTATTTTTGGAGAAAAAGGTTAATAAAAAATTTGATAAACAACAATAAAATAGACAAATTTAAAAGTATACTTTAAAAATAGAATTTATGGGGAAAAGAAAAGATATTTTCGTGGCAAAAGATATCGCTAAAATATTGATCTAAGCCTTTTACAAAAAAAAAGAGATTTTTACATTGCTATACACTATTTGAAACTTTATTACCCTCCCTACTCAAGTTTCAATTTAATTACATCATATATACATTTACTAATTATATGCACTTTAGGAATTAAATGAGTATCCCTTTATATTAGGAATCAATTATTTCACATCCTTATTCTCTCTCCCTCTCCTGCTCTCTCTCTCTCTCTCTCTCTCAATCCCTAATTCTAGTAATCTAGAGCAAAGGGAAAGAGAGCAACAATTCCATGCTTATTGAAATTCCAGTAATGTAGAGCTGAAGGTGTTGCATAATTGATGTTCAAATTCCAGTAATGTTGCACAATTGGTGTTCAAATTCCAATAATGTTGCACAATTGGTGTTCAAATTGAAATTGTCAATCAATAAATTTTGAAGGTGTTTGACTCTCCACCATTGACAGCCATTAAAAAACTTTGAAGCGTTGAATTCGAATTTGGGTTTTCAAAAACTATTATTTGTTTGGATTGGGTATTGTTGCAAACAATTGAGAATATTGTTTGGAGTATATCTCAATTTTGAGGGTATTTTGGTGAAGATTAGTGTCACGACCCAAAACTCAGACCTGGTCGTGATGACGCCTCTCGTGGAGATAAGGCTAGCCGACACAACACCCATTTTAACTCTTTAATCATTGAGAGTCATTTTTAGGCCTTCAATTTAACAAATGTTTCATAATATGTCTGAATGAACAGTGCGTAAATAACTTACAAACCCGACATCGGGGTGTCACTAGTCATGAGCATCTACCAAGGTCTGAATACAACAAAAAAAAAGTCAAAAGTGTACTAAGTGCAGTAATGAAAATGAGAGGAAGGAAGCAGTGCTGCGAACGTTGTGCAACCACCTTGCTAACTCCGATGACTCCGCGCCTGAGCAATCAACACCCGCTACCGGATTTCGAAATACCTGAATCTGCACACGAGGTGCAGGGAGTAATGTGAGTACTCCAACCCAGTAAGTAATAAGAGTGAATAAATACTGAGTAGTATGAAACAATGAATCCACATTTATGATAAACTCAATAAGCACAACGGGCTTTCAAATCAG